AGGTTAATAGTTACATAGAAATCTGCTTCTACAAATTTAATCATTAGATTTTAGGGAAAACTTCCCCATTCTCCTTATAATCCTCAAATACGCTTGGCGAGATACTAATGCAACAGGAATGTTGTTCCCAGAGGCGCTTGCTAAATAATGTTATATTCAACCTGCTTTTAGTTATTTCCATGCGCTGAATTTCAAAATGTCTCCTATGCATCTATCCATTATTTCCCCAAATAAATATCGGATAGCTATCACAGTTATATGGAAATAATAAAAGTAAAAATATTGGGGCTGTGTGCATTTTGTTATTTATTGAAATATTAATTAATTACTAATTCTTCATGCGTATTGTAGATTGTAGATTTGTTTGAATAGAGATGGCGCATAGGCGTCCTCTACCACCGCAACCTTATCAGATTTATTGTGGTATTTCCTATCTGTCCTTACATAGCCTATACCTCAATTTGTACTCAAAAGCTCAAATTTAGGCCTGCTTCTATCCTCTCAAGCTCTATAGTTAATCAATTGTATGATAAAATATGTTTTGTTAACAGAACATATTTTAACTTATACTCCTTCCCTGGTCCTGGTATCTAACCGAAATAATTGAGGAAGGTGGAATAGGAGCTGTTCTCTCCCAAGTTTAAAGTCGCGGAGAAGTATTCATATCATTGGCTATTTAAGTGAATAGGCGGAGCCGAATTATTGCGTCTCCTGAAAGGAACTTCTGGCAGTAGTATGATCCGTTATTACCACAGATTGGAATAATTTACCTTTCAGGGGCTGCGAAACTTTACCAGCAAGTAAAATCCCGTGTTGGTAAACAAAGTGTAGTATAACATACCCGGGTTCCTTCAGCAAGATTGAACGGTTAGAATTTTTATTATCTCTTCTATTAACAAATCTACTAAAAAATTAAATGAAAAACAAATAGGACCTACGTTGTCGAAACTTACTCAATTTTACTTACTTTACATGCGCTCGACAAAAGCATGTATAAGGGAAATTTGAGGAAAGTTGTGGTACCTATGTAAAATAAACGAAAAATTTGTAAAACGTCTGGTTTATTATGTATTAAAGAAAATCGTACCGTTCTCGACCTGGAACTCACGAGGGGAAGGAGCACGACAGAGAATCAAAGAAAATCAAAAAAGATACTGTGTCATTTTAATAATAATTGTAATTGTGAGTCAATAATAATTTAAATTAGGTACCGTCCCTGTCATTGTGCTAAAATTTCAATTCCACACACTACATTCAATCAACACCACCAATATTCAATACTGAACAGTTTTTGGTTAGTTAGCCAGTCTGCCAGCAGGAACTGAGGTCCCATTCGCGAGGCTACTCAGCTATAGTTGTTATTTTAAGCCAATATCTCTAGAGTGATCTCTCTGTTTACTAGCATATTCGCTTGTCAGGGTAGGAAAGTGTTAGTAGATTCAACAAGTCCCTAATGCACGTTCTTGATACCGAAAATTATAATCCTAGCACAAAAAACAGCACATAATTTCTTAGGGTTTAATTTACTTTCTATCTGCGTTGTTCACAGCATGAAATATTTTTTTTTAATTACATGAACAATGCACATGTTATAAAAAATTTCATGAACAAATAAAAAAAAAAACATAAAAATGAAAAAATAATACTTGTATAAATTGAACTCTTAAAAACAAAATAACATTTATTCAAAGGACCTGTTCATGCTTCTTATGACACATAAACTAATCACAAATTTGATTGAAAAATCGGTTTAATACAAAATAAAAATAGAATAATGAACAATTGCGGACAAGCAGCTTCTTCCCTGGTCTCTCATTTTCTGTCTCTACCCTTCTCTACCTTTTCGTGGCGCGTCCGCGTTCCCATAAACTTTACAGCGCATACATGGTTGCAACATTTACCATTTCCTTTCTATAGTAAATGTTTTAAAAAGTTAAGATTTGAAGAAATAATATTTCAAATAGGTGGTTTTCCTCAATCGCAATGGTAAAAGTCATGCCAACGCCGACAGCCTTTCACAAAGACCATATATCAGCAACCCTTGCAGCGAAGTAGTCAAAAAATCTGCACTTGTTCAAGATAGGGGCTGAGTATACCGAAACTGATATTATTGTTGAAAATTTTGCGTGATCGGCTAGCGAACGGAAAACGACCTAGATGGCAAAAAATCTCCAGCTTCGGTCCGAAGATAGAAGAATATTGCCTCCAATAGGATTTGATGTGCCTGCGAAATGATTTAATCACTCGTAAATCGGAGAGTCCGGATGAGAAAAGTCTAGTATATCCGACTGTTGTGCCACAGACTAAGGTGGAGAGAGTGCACAGTGGTCGGAGTGGTGGCGACTAGAGTCAATAGGATGTTGGCTCGAGTAGGAGATCGGTATTACTGCCACGGGAATATTGGACCAAGGTGCAAAATAGGTTACCTTCATGCTTCGAAGAAAGGACCATTTCTGGAAAATATCATTGCCAGGCACATGGTAACGATAGAACTTTATACCGATCAGGAGAGATATATTGAGACCGAAATATGAAAGCGATTGATGCGATTGATTACTGGAAATAACTTAGGCAAGAACGACTCCACTTCAACCAAAGTCCGAAGGAATGGTCGAGAGACACAATCCGAACATATCAATTAATATAATGTTCGTGGGTAATCACTAGCGAAATAAGTGGGATAAACTAGTGACCCTTTTGCTTCTGCCGCCTAGAAGCTTTCAGCACGAATTCTTTTCCTTCTGGCTTATAGAAGCACGAATCAACCGGCTAAATACCATCGATGACTGAAAGATGAATAAACCTTTCCTTAAATGCAATGTTCATTAGACCACCAATCGATGAATATAAAGATGTACTTCTAGTTCACGTGGCTGACATTTAAGACAGGCTCAAAGTAGTTCATGACTTCGAAAGAAATAGACTACGTCTAAGCAGCCACAGAATGGAAACGACACTCGATACTTTGCAGCCATTGACTAGTTTTAGAAAAGGCACGCCGCCTGATTGTCTCAGCGGCAACGGAGGAAAGGACTCAGGCCAAAATTATTAAGACTGAGAACCATACAAGATCGTTGAGAAGATCGAAGACTTGGCGTACAGGATTCAACTATCTCCTAAAATCTGAAGGTTGTATCGTTGGCCTCACACAGACTTGGATGCGATCAGCTGAAGCTATCCGGAGCCAGCAGCCTTAGGGCATGGGAAAAATTTCTCAAATTAAGTATTTTGTGCACAATCATGCAACAAACCTTGATGACTAGAAAATTCGCGAACAGAATTTTACCGGGCCGTAATTCGAATCCGGCGCCGACGAAAAGTTAATAGGCAATGAATTCAACCCCAATGTGTCGGAATCAGTTTGCTATCGCATTGCGTTGATAGTAGAACAAGTTGTGATTAAGGGCGGGTATTATAAAACTATTTTGACAGACGCTTGAGATGCTCTCTCAAATATAGTAAAAAAAAATCCTGGTTTCATTATTGATCAACGTCATTGTTCTACCAGTAAAACTAAAGTCCGTCGATTTAAATCTGATACTCGAAAGAAATTTGAGCTGGTGGCACCCTACATTAGAGCGCCAATGGTCACCTGACGTCACACCTGTTTTTGCCATATACTTCACCGAAACGACGGACAATAGATAACATCTAAAGTCTGTTTTTTTTTTAAAGATAATTCCCCAAGTCAAAAATTTAGTAACTATGTTGGCAATACAAGCCTTTTCCACATGAAAAATTTGAAAGCATTGACAATTTTACATTGTATTGCCAGCATAATGTCATTTTCACTTTTATCTTTAAAAAAAAAAACAGATTTTATAAAATCCATATACGCTATGTCACTTATGTGACCATTGGAGACCAGGAAGCTTCTCAGACGCAGTATTCATAGCAATGCTAGAATATACCTATCTCCCATGATTAGAAAAAGAGAGCTTCATTAAATAAATACAAGTTAGAAAACAATAAAGGATGACATGCGCGCGCAACTCGTAGGCTGCAGTGTAGCCAGATTGTATTGTTGCAGAACAAATATAGACAATACAAATCGAACATTATAAGATTAAAGAAGTAATATAGTCTCAAGTGTTTCACAACGCCTTAAATCAGACAAAAAAAGAGCTTTAAAGTGGATAAACATCGTTTGCACTTTTATTTTGATAAATGTTTCATCGTGCAACATCGCTCAATCAAATTGCAAAGGAATATGTAAAGTATAATCTAACATAACCTTAAACGAAACTGCGGTGAGTTCAAGTAATATGTAAAGTATTAGTTTGCTCTTTGTCAAATCACACGTTACAAAGAAAGAAGGAACGATTCATTCTGAACTGGCCCCTGAATAAGAATATGACGCAAGCCTGTCATAAACTTGCTTCTCATTGGACGCTCACCTGCAGCCTACAAGCGACGCGCGCAGTCCAGGTAATAGGAGATCGGTCTATTATCTAATTGCCAGAAGTATGGACTAATAAACCTACTTTTGTTCAAACGCAAATATGTGAAAAGATATGAGAAAAATAGCCTATTTTGCATACACATTTTCAAAACCATACACAATTTATTTGCTGTCTCTGGTGTTTCTGTCTTGTCATCCCTGATGTGTTCTGCATACATTTTGTCCCTATCTCCCTGAGTTCTAGATATTTAGTTCGAAAATGGCCGAAGCTATCGCGAATTTCGATGGCAGTCCTGGGTCCTTATTCTCGAAAAAGGGGAGTAGCGTTCCCAGAAGAACGAGTGTTCCGTCTTTCTCAATGATATCAATGATATGGAAATAATAATATTAGTAACAAAGACAGAATACTCGTTCTCCTGGGAACGCTCCCCTGTTTCAAAAATAAGGACCCTGGATGATTGGGTTAGACCAGTCCGAAGCCGCTGTCCCACAGGTTTTAAGTACACCTGTATGTTTTGTGGTTGTGTTTCAAGTTACTATTATCTCTGAACGCAGCCTAGGTGTGAAATCAGGTAAACATATGCTAAAAATGATGTTTCAAAATCAGTTATATCAAAACATGTTCTACCATTGGCTGCCCATAATTCTTTATTCCATCCATATTAATTCAGCTATCGAAAAATCAAATATTTCTGAGTACAATGATGAGATGAGATTTCGCATTATTGGTGGATATTTTTGTTCAACCATACAATATGGCTTTATGGTACGAGTGATGGGTGAAAAACCAAATTCGGGGTCAACGACTGCTTGTGGTGGAACCATTATAAAACCCAGGTGGGTTTTGACTGCAGCCCATTGTTATAGTGGAAGTGTCACAGAATATAAGATAATCGCAGCAGCCAATACTAATCAATTATTAATTGAGGTGGAGCATTTTCATGTGCATCCGAATTTTAACTACTCTACCGTCTCTTCCTCAGCCAATGATGTAGCTTTATTGCAGTTAAAAACGCCCTTGTATGAGAATGATGTTAAATTTGTGAAGCTCCTGAGAAGCAGAGATGATCCATATTGCCAAACAGGTTTGGTGATGGGCTGGGGACACATGGAAAATAAAACACTAAATCAAAAGCCAACACATGCAAAAATAACCGAACTTCAATGCACTTTGGCTACATTGCTACCATTAAATGAATGTAAAACTCGTGCGGGAATTTATTCTGAACTAATAAAACCCTATCATATTTGTATCTTAACTACAGAAATTGATGTTCGGCCAGGTGACTCAGGAGGACCGTTGTTATGTGGTGATGTTCAGGTTGGAATTGCTTCATTTTCAGGAAAGCAGCCTTTCTCATCTGCTGTTGCTGTTTACACTAAAGTGGTAGATCATTTAGATTTTATAGATGGTGTTATTGATCGGACTAAGCTTTCTAGGAGCCATAACGAAAAGTTGTATCAATGTTCTAGTTTAAACATAGCTATTATTATTGTAATATGGTGTATCGGTGCAGTGTAATTTGCTGGAAAAAATAGTATTATATGGTTATATTATTGTATGGTAAAATTCGGTCATGGACTCTTGATAAAAATACGAATAGTAATCCAAACAGTTTTCAATCTTCCGGTAGATGAAATAAAGTATACCTACTTGAAAATATTTTGTAAATTCTCAAGTACTTGAAGTCTTGCACTTAAAGTATCATCAAAGTAGTTGTAGTGATAAATAACTGTATCGAAAATTGAGTGGTAAAGTGCCGTTCAACCAGTACAACACGTTACCACGTCCACATAGACCGATGAGCAGTTCTTTTCGATTTTTTCCCTTATAATTTTTAACTATCTAGGTATCTAGTAAACTTGGTAGGCACCTAATATACCAATAAATATTTAAAGTACAGTAGGTATAATAAGACTTCACGGCAGGCGACACAGGTACTTCAAGTACTTTAATTATATATACCTATGTATGCAGTTCAAGTAAAAAACTTCAAAAAACCTGGTACTTTTACAATTAATTGGTAATTGAATTACACTCAAGAAAATAAAAAATATAGGTACTTAGTATATACTACAATTAGCTTTAAGTACCTTGAACTTGTACTTCAAATACTTTGGTAATGTACTTGTGACAGCTCTGCTAGACCCACACCATTTCTGAATTATTTTCCGCCAAGATGGAGAATTATTCTAAACGCTCAATTTGAAAAACAGAGACGTTCTTTTGATTGGACATTCCGAACACGTGTTGTTTCGCCCACGATCGAACCAGGTTTTCACTTATAAAACGTCGATCAGCCTTGTTATTGTGGGCCGAAATATGGGGGATATAAGTGTATCTTCGTAAAAACACAGGGTGTTTCATGATACATAGGACCTTGTCGGAGAGATGATTCAGGGGAGAAGAATTAAAATGGTTTTTATGAACGGATACACCTGTCAAAACTCATTTGATTCTGAGCTAGATCAGTTATTGGAAAATAGTTATTTTTTACTAGGAAGAAAATCACAACATTTAGTGCCGCAGCTGGTGTTGCATAGCCGAGGCTAGGAAACCAGCCAAGGCATTAAATCAGATTTTCTGCCATGTGAAACAAAATTTGATTTATCTTTGTTATATATATTTTTTTAATTTTGAGGTGTTAATGACATTAGAAAAAATATTGCGTGGAATATGAGCTCAAAAGGCTATTGTCGATTTCGACAATCTACAGTGGCTTTTTTGGCGCTCCTAATGCACAGATAACTATTTCCGATGTCTACCGACAATCGACATAATTGAATCGATTAATTCGACCACTAACCATATTCTGTGACGATATGAGGCATCGGAAGCAACCAGTGGGGAGTTGGAGAGATTCGCCATATAGCAGCGGAAAGATGACCTATTAAAATGAAGTTTATGCTATCGAGTTTTTCGCATAACTTGTCGTCCAGTGCGATTATCTCTTTTGTGAAAGCCCCTCTGGACGGCTCTTTACCTTAAGGTTTAAAGTCAACCCCCATTTTCTGAACCTTGTGTTCAAAAATTTCAAAAAAAATATATGTTTTATGGTTATTGATATACTTTAATCCATAATTTTTTTAAGCAAATTTGACTCGCCATTTTTGAGTTATATCGCAAAAACTGAAAAAAAAGTGGTTTTTCGCCATTTATTTCAAAACGAAGAGATGAAGTTTCCCGTTATTTTTATTACGAACTACTATTGCAATTCTACGCGACATATATTTTTTTCAAATTTTTTGAACTTGTAGTTTTCTCGCTATTGCAAGAATAGTTGGAAATACGCCTGTAGCTACACTGTTTAAAAATAAATCCGACGGATGAACGTTCAAAATTATTTGTGTTGGTCCAAACTACAACCCTGTTTATGTAAAACAGAATAATACTTCGAATTTCCGCAAAAAAAAGAAAAAACTCTCCATCACACAATTTAACCAAATGCAGATTTCTATTTTTTTTTTACTATCAAGTTAGGGCACACTATAGGGGCGACAGTACTGACATCTCGCGTTGCTGCAATAAACAATAGGCCTGACTTTAAACCTTAACAAATCGCACCTAACGAATTTTTGTGTTTTTCAGGTAGCTCCCCTGTGCCCCTATAGAAGAGGCACTATGTACCATATGGCCATCCTTAGGTAATTACTATTATAACCTCTACTCTACAGTAAACCTTAAACTTAAATACCAAGCGAGTCTCTATTATCCTGACCCTACGCTACGTACCCCGTCATGACAAGATAAAGTTGTGACATTTGGTGGAGGTGCCGTCTCGAACCCGACGCCCAACAACCGACGCCGACGATGCCTTCAGGTGCCTCGGAAGCAAGCCAACGCTCACACCATGCTATGACCCGGTTACGTCGACAACAGAAAGACTCACGACTCCGTGGCGAAGATACTCAAAAAAAAGGAAGAGTACAGAAATCCCGCAAACAAGTAGTGCCATTAGATCGATATAGGTGAAGGCGCAAGAGCTATCAAATACGAATATAGGAAAAATATTACAAAAATCGAATGTCAGAAGAACAGTATAAATACAATCTACAATTCAAAGGCACTCTTGATAAGAGCTATAGTGGTGAAAAATATAAATAAGAGGCAAGGAAAAAATAAGGAGCGATTCGACGGACGACGAGAGACACAGATAATTGAATTTTGAGATAGGAGACAAAGTGGAAGTATTTCTCCCAATAAGAAAGGTTGGACGCAGTGAGAAGAAGCTGCTTTTGAGATGGTTTGGACCATGGAAAGTTATTAAAAAAATGGGAGAAGTAAATTACGAGGTAGCAAAAAGAGGAATAAAGATACGGCCACGTATGTATAGGATGCCTTACAACGACCCGCGGACAGAAGGCGCTCCTATGGAAGCAGTCAATGGAGATTCAGAAGATGAGATAAATATGGAAAATAGTGCGTCGGACGAAGAATTCGGTAGTGATGAAAAAACAAATTTAGAGAACATTAAGAAGCAGAAGTAGCAGTGGAGTCCTAAGTCATTATTATGTTCTTGATAAACAGAAACGACAACGGACTACAGGGATCGCATAGCTATCAGAAGGAAAAAATATGTATATATGGAGAAGAATTGGAGACTGCGTACTGTAACACTTGAAATGTTACATATTATTTATTGTTCTTAATTATTTTAATATATCTTGGACTCATTTAAAAGTACTATTTCGTACACCTAGCGACATGTATGATTCTTCTGGCTAGTTTTCCTAACCTAATATCATTGTATCGAGAATTATGTTATTTCCAAGAAACCTGTAGCGCTGTCATTTTTATAATTTCATCAAGGTTGACAGACGAAAAAAGAAAGGACAGAACCAATTCGGGTTCTTTTGACTTAGCTTTTTCTCTTTTGTCTTGGGACCGAAATGGTCGTCCAGATTTTTAATCTTAAAAATCTTAAAATTTTGTCTTCATTTTTGGCCATCGAGCCCATAGTTTTGTAAATTGACTAGCCAGAAGAGTGGTTGATCGTGTCTACTAGAAAGTTTCCTGGAAAATCAACCGATTGTTGATTTTGTGAAGATTTTGGAAAGTGAGGTTACTATCGGCCATTCAGGTATGTAAATTCCTTTTTCTCTCTGATGAGAGTCCTTATATTCTTTCAATTCATTCAGGCACTTTGGGCAACAAGAAAAAAAAAAGCAGACAGAGGCTAGCCTAGATTTAAGATAGTTAAGAAATAGGATAGAAAGGATAGTTTAGGAGTAAAAACGTAAGGGAAACAATTACCAGATTTTCCTTGCAGGTCACTGGCGCGACTGAACCAGAAACAGCACTTTTTATTTATAAACATTTGTTTGTTTTTTTATGAAAGCAAATAAAAACGACCAGCCAGGGACGGACCAAACCAATGAACGAGAATTTGTCAACCACAAACCTGAACAAGGATTGTCCACTTCAAACGATGGATCAGAATTAGCTCTGAACTGAGTGGGGTTTAGTTTCTGAACCTATTGCAATAGGCATAATAGCATAATGAACAAATCAAACGAATCAAAGTTCCACCTTCACCACACCGACAAGAAAAAAACCGATGGACTAACGGCACCACAAACCGGGCAACAGACATTTAGACCATGGGACCGTATACACCCCACGACCTAGCTGACCAATTCGCAAGGAGAAAGAATATGGAGACACGAGACCGGAATGCGGAATCTAATCCCCCATATGGTGAAGAGAGATACACAGAACCGGACCCATTTCAAGAAAAACCCCCAAGTCTGAGGCTACGAACTAGGGCTTCGCGAGACCACAAGACTAAGTCTTGGTCTTGTTTTGGGCTTGGTAGCTAGACAAAGACCAAGACCAGGACCTAATAAGTCTTCTCGAGAAAAAGACCAAGACGACGTTCAATACCAAGACTCTCTCTCTCGAGACTCTCGTCTTGGTCTTGGTCTTGAAAAGAAAATTCGACTCAATTATTTACATTGCCAATTGCCCGTAAAATATACAAATACCAAATATACAAATACCAAAAGATTAGAGAATGTACTGACCGGGTAAGATTTACTTTTAAATAACCGCACGAAATCGAAGGAGCGAGTAATAATAAGAGCTGTTCGTTCAAGTATTTAAAATTTTCCTATCCCTACATAATACAATAGGTAAAGTATTTTTCACAATAAATGGTTGACTCCTTTTAACTATACCTGCCGCAGCGGCCGAATGCATGATCCGATTTCAATTTTTCAAACACCACATTAATGCTAATGAAATGCACTCTCCAATGCTTCTTGGTTCGAATTTTTGGCTTAAAAATTGAGCGAGCACGGACTTGCCTAATGTGCGAGGGAGTTGTAAATTGCATCGAAAACTACCCCTTTCTTGCATTTACTGTAATTTCTAAACGGGCCAAATATTTAGTGATAGTTTTCGACAATCGGCAGCCCATTTATTCCTCTCATATTGCCCCAGCGGATTTTTTTTTTCGTTAATTACTCAATGACTTATTGGCCTGAACACGTCGCGCGGAATTTTTCAAAAAGTCAAAAAAAAATTAAAATTGTTGCACAGCGCTGAAATTTGGTACGATGGCTTTATTTATTGTTTTTATGAATATACTGAAATTTTAATTGCTTCACACGACTGCTGTAATAATTAGAATTTCACCACCTATATTCATGAGAACAATAAATACGGCCATCGTACCAAATTTCAGTGCTGTGCGACAATTTTTAATTTTTTTTGACTTTTTGAAAAATTCCGCGCGACGTGTTCAGGCCAATAAGTCACTGGATAATTAACTACAAAAAAAATCCGCTGGGTCATTATAAGAGGAATAAATGGGCTGCCGATTGTCGAAAACAATCACCAAATATTTGGCCCCGTTTAGAACTTACAGTGAATGCAAGAAAAGGGTAGTTTTCGATGCAGTTTACAACTCCCTCGCACATTATGCAAGTCCGT